TTTATTTATTTTGTGAGATCTTTGACATTTTTTTATTTTTTGCTAATAGAGCATTGTATCATCTTTATGTACTAATGCATGTTAGAAAATTTATGGAAATATAATAATAATTTAACATTTTCATAGTGGATCATAGATAATTGTTGGTATTTGGCTATGTGGATCATAGATAATTGCTTCATGGGTGTCAATTGGCCACAACGGTCGACATAATGAGTTGTAGGTGTCATAAGTCACGTCGGTTGCATATCACATAAGTCATGATGGTTAGCTGTAATATTGTCTGGAAGTCACAGATACTAGAGTTGGGAATTGCGTGAGCTAATATAATGTCCATAGGTCACGAATGTCGGAGCTGGAAACTGCATGAGTTGTAATAATATACGTAAACTGCAAAAACCAGAGTTGGAAGTTGCTTGAGCTGAGATAACGTTCATAAGCCACATAGGTTATAATTGGGAGCTACATGAGATGTTATAACATCCATACGTTGCACAGGCCAGAGTTGGAGCTCCATGGACAAAGATAATGCCCATAAGCCCTAAAAACTTGATTTGGGAGTTACATGAGTTGTGATAACGTCCGTATGTAGTAAATGCTCGAGTTGGGAGTTGTATGAGTTGAGATAACAATCATAGGTCATAGGCTTCAAATTTAATAGTTGCATGAGCTGAAATAGCATTCGTAGGTCGCATGTGCTGAAATTGGGAGCTGCATGAGTTGTGGACCACATAGGTTGTAGTTGGTCACATAGGTGGTATCTAGTCACGTAGGTTGTAGTGGTGGGTAGGGGTGTAAACGAACCGAACACGAACGAACAGTGCTCGTGTTCGTGTTCGGTTCGTTTGAAATATAATTTGTTTGAAATAGACTCGTGTTCGAAATTGTTCGTGAAATGTTTGTTCGTGTTCGGTTCGATTTGTTCGAATTGTTCAAATTGTTCGAATTGTTCGAAATGTTCGAAATATTCCAAATGTTCGAAATGTTCGAAAATTTTTAATTTTGTTTCTATTTTTCAATTTGACCGTAATAAAAAAAGGGAATTTACATACATACCTTTAATATTCTTATGTTTTTACAAACAAACTAAAAAAAAGTTATAAAGCATGTTAATGTAGTAAAAATTTACTACTTTTATGCAATAATTAAAGATTAAATAAAGTGATTGTGATCAAAACAACAAACTATGATTAAAATGAACTGAAGCATAAAATAAACTGAAGCATAAAAAAAATTATGAGATAGTGAATAGGCCATGAGTTTTGTCATTGAAGATCTAGATAATGTATTTAAAAAATGGAATCAACCGCTATCCAACTGATCTAAATCACGTACTTAAATATAAAAGTGTGGATCTTAGAAGACAAAGATATCATTACAACCGTAAGCTAAGAAAGATGCAAAGAATGCTAAAAGAAGAAACTTTAAATGCAAACAATGAACTAATCACAATTAACAATTAACACACCAAACAAAAATACCAAGGAAATTCAGCAACTATAATAGAAATATAATGAAGAACAATAAGGATGTAACTTCAGTTCATTTCATTTTAATAAGAAACTTCACTTCATTTTAATCACACTAATGAAATATGATATACCTAAAAAAATTGATATACCTAAAAAAATATACCTAAAAAAATTTTAATAAACCTAAAAAAATTTCTACAAATTTAAGCTAAGAGGCAAATCTGATTACCTGATGATAAATATGATATATTACAGAAAACCAAACAAGAACATCGAGCAACCAAATCGAGCAACCAAACAAGAATACCCAAACAAGAAAACCGAGCAACAGAAGTACCGAAGCAAGAATACCGGGTCGATCCAACGCCGACTCACCGAGGAAAAATACTTTTTATTAGAGGAAAATAGAAGTAAAGATTAGAGAACGAACAAAAAAAAAAACACTCTAAGCTCTCACCGAGACAAAGATTTTCGCGATTTTGAGACAAGTTCTCACCGACAGAAGCTTTTCGCGATTTTGATAGAAGAAGATGTTCTCGCAGTCAAGCTTTTCACGATCTTGAGAGAAGGAGCAGCCGGAGGAGAAAGATCGGCCGAGTCTCGTGCTTTAGAGAGGAGAGCGGCGTGAGAGGAGAGAGCGGCAGCGCTGAGAGCTGCGAGAGCCGAGAGGAAAAAAGCGAAAGGGGGGTTAGGGCTTCTGCTCGGTGGGTAGGGTAACTAATAAAGTTTTTTTTCATTTCTTTTATATATTATAATATAAAAATAATAATATAATATATTATAATAATTATATATCTTATATTATATAAATATATAATATCTATATATTTATAGCCTAGATAGTATGTAAAAGTATTATTATTAATAATTTATTTTACATTATAATTTACAGGTTTTAAATTTTAAAATATATTAATTTTTTTGAATATATAATTATTTTATAAATATCATAAATTTTTTGTATATATTTATTTAAATTTTTTTTATTTCGAACAATAACGATTCGAACACGAACGAACACATCATTGTTCGTGTTTGGTTCGTTTAGCAAACCGAACGAAAAAATTT